ATACTTACTACCGAAATGCCGACCAGGTTTTTAAAGTGCGTTCCATTCTTTTACTGGATGAATAAGCACCATACGCCTCACCTCGCGCTATGAATTTAATCACACTTGGGTCAATTTTAACCGTCCAACTTTACCGCTCGTATGGAATCCATCAATACGGAACAACAAGCTGACGGCCAAAGCAGGATTTCCTAAGCAATCATCTAGAATCCACCAGAATGACTACTTGGATGACTTAATTATTAGAAGGTTTTGAAGTTTTGCTTAATTTGAATTGACCCAATTTTGAAAAACTCGGGCGATCGGCAGGATTCTAGATGATTGCTTAGAAAATCCTGCTTAGGCAGTCAGCTTGCTGTTCCGCATTGGTGGATTCCATATGGGCGGTAAAGTTGTGCGAGTGTGATTAAATTCACGGCGCGGGGCGGGGCGTTTGTAGCTTAGCGGTTAGAGCGTTGGCCTCCAGTAGAAGGCCTTCTCTGATACGCGGGTTCAAATCCCGCCGGACGTCTCGAGTTTTTTTCACAACTGGGTCAACTCAAATTAAGCAAATCTGTCAAACCTCCTAATAATTTTTACGTTTATCTTGCAATAAGAGAAACACTCAGAAAAAGGCTCAGATTTGTATTGCCAAGACGTTGCTAGCGAGAACATAAGAAGCTCTGCGTAACTACCCCATCCCTCAAATTAAGTTGATCTATCCTGTGGTTTCAGCGGACAGTACTGTATATAACCTTCAAAATAAAGCGTTTTTGTTTCTCGTGCTGATGCACAATAAACAATTGTCTCTAGGTCGACTAATGATCGCCAATATTTGGTGAGCATTTTGTTTTCTATTGCCTCTTACGTAAATAAATAAATATCTTTCTTGATGAGGTTGTCTATCCGGTTCACGTTGAACCACTGTTTGCGACGGCTTCCCATACCCTGTGCTGAACCTTCCGGCATATGTCCTGACGCACATAGACATATGCGTTTTCTGTACTCCCATTCCTAGCACGTTACTTCCCTTGTAACAAAACGGAAATCAAGAAACTGCTATAAGATTAGTTCTTGTAGTACGTTCGGATTTAATATAAATCTCTAAACTTGACATTTAACTTACTCTATGTCTTGGTGTCAGTGAATGTAGGCATGGTTTCCAGAAATTTCTGGATATCACCTTCAAATAAAGTGCATTTTTCTTTCTCTGGTGCGCAATAGACATTTGGCACTTAATCGATACAAGATACTCGATATTTATTTTCGATTGCCCGTTAAATTAATCATTTCACTTACTATCCTTCGCAACTATATTGTTACGTGGACCCTATGACTTCCTATAAATTTAAGTATTATATCCTTCAAAATCCAGTTAGTATATTTTACCTGCTCATAGAAGTAAACTGCGTGTGATCTTTTAATCTGACTAAGAGACAAAGTGCTTTTAAAGCAGTCAGATATTCATGACTGTAAGAATGTATTATTGCATCTTTATCCTTATATCCAAACAATTATTATTTTACCTTAGGCATTCTATTTTATGAGAGAATATTTGAGAGAAATCAATAGGAAGCATACGAGAGAACGCAATTAATGTGGTGTAATTTGCAATGGGGCGTATAGTAGGCCGACATTGATAAAATCGGAGGGCAATGGCTAGGTTAACATTTAAAAAATTTTTAATTATCGATTGAGAATAATTTGCAAAATAATATCGTGCAAAGCGAAAGTGTATTCTTACATTTTTTAAGTTAATCCAGGATTTTCTAAGGGCGACAAAATTAAAATCATTACTTCTTTTGGCATTGCCGTAGGCCAATAGTGAAATACAACCGCTGTTCAAGAACAGAGTTCGAGCCATGCAAAGTTGGTTGCTCTTCTGTAGGAAAAACAGCTTAGCAATATATGCTAAAATACAGCTTAAATTTCAACGGGAATCGTAAAATTTGCTCAATGTTCATTGACTGAAACTAAAGATACAGTCTTAAGAAGAGACTTGCCTCCCCTCGCTGGAAATAGCTTCATGTTTAGACAATTTCACCGGGGGTGGTGGTAGGTTTGCTGTAAGTGAGTACTTATTCATAGGAAGAGAAAGCGGTTTCGAATATTAAATTCTAGTCAACTGATAACAGCTACCACATGAAATATGATTTTTTACAAGGCCTCATTATCTCATAGACGCAGCTCTCTCAAATATATTTTAAAATAATTTCGGTTGCATATAGCAGACGATAGCTAGCAGTAGAATACAGCTGAATATCGTAAGACCTAAATGCATGTTGATTAAATAATTTGGCATTTCAAACACACAGGTATGCTCTGCTGTGGCCCCACGGGCAGTTTTATCCCGATAACGTCTTCTGGTTCAAACAAATTCTTGTCGGTTGTTTCTAAGGTACTTAAATGCGCCTCAGTGCACAACAGCCTATAGCAGATCCCTCGGGACACAGTCATTTAACTCGTCATGAATGACCATCATTGGCCACTGATCTGCCCAATCAGCTTCGCACAACAAAAGCAGTCACGTTTTGCCAGTTTAATAATCCTCCCCAGCAGAACAGCGGGGATACCGCACGCATGCGCCACTAGGCCTTCGATCTGAAACCTTCAACGAAGAAGAAGACGAAACACAGCGTTCATTTACCCCTTCATGTTGTCCTACTTCCGAGATCGACTCCAGTACGGTTGGCATGGTATCCCCATATGTAAAGGTCTCCGTGAAACACCAATAAGCACCGTCTCCGATTTCTCTGAAGGCCTAGCCCTCGGAAGGGAGAGGCAGTCTGATGAGTACACAAGAAGCGCATCCAGTGAAATGCTGGCCTGGTCAAAACCAGTAAAGTACAAACCAAGTGAATATGGTAGGTCCCATGATTCTTCCCTGCAGTAGGAGATAAGATAACATTGAATTAGCTAACATCGCTTTTTTCCTTGACACAGTCTATGGAAATAACCGTTGTTTGCATTTAAAAACATCGCATTTACAATACACAGAAAAGTAGTTATTTCAATATGCAGTGTCATCTTTAAGTCCGCATTTATGATAATTTGGAGTATCTGATGATGAAACGAAATGTTTGTCCAAGCTTTATAACTGACATTATCAAATAGATTTTATCTTGTCCAAAAATACTTGTTTACTTATTTAACTCATTTCGTTCTTCGGTGTAAATTTATTTTTAAAATAGCATGCAAACTCCACTTCACTTTCGAACAAAAAATAGAAGATAAACTCACATACATTACTTTATACGTTTCATGAGGGGATAAGTATTCGTGGTTAGACGTAATTTACTTATAGTTCGTAGGATCTTGATGCTCCTATGTAAAATAATTTGTCGAAGTAAGTTTCATACTTTTAATACAGGGAAATCAATCAACAAAATGTACTATGACGTGAGCGCAATCAGAATACCTCTTGCAGGTAAGTTGACTTTGTTTCAGGAAAATTAAGGTGTGCTTCTACTAAAAGAAAGTATTACATAAGCTCATTGGCGAGGCCAGATGTCACAAGCCAATGAGCTGGTGACATTAGCAAGGTCGATATGTTCGCTAGTGCTAAGACAGTTGGGGAACAGTTCCATGGAATTCGTTAAAGTTAAATGTTTGTCAGTCAATCGCCGTGAAAAAAAGTAACAGTGGTTGCAAAAACTTTCATGGTCTAAAACAATTTGCGCGCAACATCACCCAGGCGAGAAGTGACATCTACGTATCATGTCTTGCGCTCTTTGCTTCCACTCCGGCCACTGGTGTTGTTGGTGTTGCGGAAAACGTAAATGACGTCGCTAATGAATGAGTTATTCCGACTGAATGATTCACCAACTTAGGGCACGTCTCTACTCTAAAATGTCACGTTGAGTTTTTATGGCATATGGCCGCATTCGCTCATTGTTAACGACTTTGAAAATAAATCTAAAATCAACAGGAATGTGCATCCACGATGAATAAATCACTAAGCAACTAGAGGCGCGAAGTTGCATATTTATCATTCGATTGGCAAAAACCTCTGTTATGCTTATAAACCAACAACAGCATTCCCCATGAAAACCACACGATAAATTGTCAAATACATTGGAATACACTTGAACTTGATGAACTAACTTCCGGACATTATTTCAAAACCAAAACAAATGCGAGAATTACAGCATGCAATCCAAGATTATTAGTTATTTCTTGGCCGCAAACCTAACCTTGTTAGAAAACCTAACTGACAACATTTGGAATTGAATATTTACCCAACCGGGCAATAACATAGAAAGGCAGGTTTTCGCACAGCAGAGAAAACCAAAATAGTTCTCCGACGAACGCAGGGGTAGGTAAACGCGCTGAAGCACTGCTCATTAATAAATCAAGGAGCTTTTTTAAAAGGGCAAAATTTGCGTTTATCGCTCTCCTTAAAGGGAAACCCTGGGATATTCCGCCTGGACAATTTTGAGAAAATTTAAAATATTAGTGTAGGCATCTGCATTAACAACAAAGCATGCCTTTGTGTAGAATTTCATTGGTCTGATACATTTTGCCTGATTAGGTTCTTATTCTTAAAGAATTCCCACTCACAACTATGTGCAATTCAATAATAATTAAGAATAACCATCATCAAGCGTTTGAATTTACAGGAAATTAAACCATAACCCATTGACCTATGTACATTCCAAATCCATCACCTGTATTAACTGCTTATTGGATTTTAAAACTTATGTAACGCCACCTATACTTTTATTTTTGTAAATACCTAATAAATGATAATGAAACATGTACGTTAATAAAACGTAACTTATTAAATCCTTTCATTCGTATTGGCTCTTAAAGAAGAAGAAAACCTGTATGTAGCCTATGCTATCTGTGTCATACCATAGAATCTGCGCAATTACTTACAATACCGGTGCCACGGGCACTAGGAAAAAGACTAGACACATAAGTCGTCAATGATCTGCCGTTCTGGGACACAATTGCAAAATGATAAGCTCATTACTGGGGAATCGCTTTCTCACTTGAAGTAAATCACGACGTTCACGATAAGTAAACATGTAATATCTACCAGAATACTCACAGAGAATGGCGAGGACCAGTAAATATGCTGAATTCCCTTGCAGCTGTGTCATACTTCAAAGGATATCGGGATTTAACCTAATACGTATGCTGCCGATACGGTAAGCAGTTGTGTTAGATATACTATTGACTGCCTGTTGGCAACTTGTGAATCCTTAAATTTCTTCGGTTTTATATATTTTTATTAAAATTTGGTATGCACCTATATCTCGTTGAATATGCGGATGTACTCCAAGAAAGAGATAAACATAGGAGGAAATTGGAAAGCTAAATTCTAAATAAGACGAGTTGGTGGTCGAATAAACGAGAAGATCCATAGCTGTAGTCGATTATTCATAAGCAGCTTCATGTCCGACTGACCTAGGATTCAAAACCAGTGTTGCTCGTTAAACAAGATAGCAAGCTACTATGCAGTCACGGCTTCTGTGCCTGCAGGTGTGGTCAAGTATATGACCTCCGTCTTCTTCATAAATTAATCACTCATTTGTAAAAAAATATCGTACTAAAACCTGATAGTGTGAGTGTTTACGTCGTAGGAAAGTAGCTACACGAGGATACCTGCTGTATGTGCAATTCCTGCCAACAGGCAGCCAACCATCTGCCGCGTTCGTGATAAATAGTACCGAGAAGCCTTGTACTTGCCAGAAAACCCAAATATATGTTTAGAATGACGCAGCTGCTAGACATTCGGCTCATCATCTCATATATGGATTCATTTAGACTTAGCAAATTAAAGCATTGAGATAATAAGACTACTTGAACATCCATAGGAAATGCGGGGGGATTGACTAGCATTCCTATCCCAGCTGGATCATGCAGCTACAAAATATCGGCATAAAACCTTTTAGCATACGCAGCTCCTGCTACTAATTCCTGCTGATGTCTTTGATGAAGAATTCGAGACAGAAGGCGAAACGTCAGGAGAAAACGTTCTTATCTCAGCGATTGCATCATCATCAACAGCAAAAACAACAACCTCATCATCATCATTGTCTTCTCAAAAAGCGTGTTTACACATTCAGCTGGGGCAACGTGCTTATTTGGACTATTATAGAAGGTGCTCTTAAGGGTCCAATGCCGAGACGTGCGCAGTGCGATTCCTGCTGCAGTAGCCGCTTACAGTGCGACTCAGGATTCATGCAACCTGCAGACACTTGGGAAAGTTTGATACGCCCTCGCTAGTCGGCATTGAGCGAGGCTGTAATATTGATTATTGCCTAGTCCATTCTCAAGTCATTTTAGTCATGATAGGATGGCCGCTTTTTAACGAGCTTCTTTCCAACCACTAACAAAATGCATGTCATGTACAAATTGTCTACTTAAGTAGTATAACTCTTTTCCATCGATGCTGGCTGCCTTTTGAAATTATTATATATTTTATGGAAAACGCAAAGAAAAAAATGAATTGTACTCATTCGGTAGAAAATTACGCCTTCTTTAAATTATATACCTAAAGGAAGGGCACACTTCGGTTTTGGAAAGATTTTTTACTCATGATATTTTGACACTAATGAGGTGTTCGTTCATAGTACATCGTATCCGTCAATTTATTAGTGCTGCCAACAATGCATACAGAATGATCCACATATATTGCAAAATTTATGAGAACTATGTGACATCTTTCTCAAACCGTAGGAAAAAATCTACTTTTCCTTAAACAGGATGTTTGCGGCGCGCACTTTTTAAACCTTGAACTAAACTGTTGCACTCAGAAGGTTTTAAAATTGTTCCGCAATTTAGAAATATTTTTTTTAAAATTGAAAGGTACCATTTCTTTAAGTATTAAATGTAAAGAAGGCGACATTTGCCACCAAAAGAGTACAAGAAGGAGTTTTTTTCGTGCATGCTTTCCATAAAATACATTTGAATTCATATAGACAGCCAAAATCAATGATAAAAATAAGCAGTACATAAGCAGTCATTCCTTACAGTACACAATTTTGTTAACTATCAGTAAAAAGCTCGTTATATTGCACAAATTCTCAGTCGTACTGTCGTAACTGGTATGGATACAGGGGCAAGGTGACAGTTAGATCGTCAAATTTCGAGGATGCCCACCGCACGGCACGCGGCAATAAGCGCAGTAACTTGCGTGTGAATTTGTCTTAAGTTATAGTTTAGTTGCGCGGCATCTACCGCATTTCCGTTCCTCTCAGCCGTGCGTGCCCGGTGTTAAGATAGAGTCAAGAAGAACAGATGCCGGGTGTTCAGGTCTGCGCCCGCGTGCAGAGAGATTAGATAACAAGGAAGATAAGGCAGACTGCGATACTGTTTCCTATCTTTTAGTCGGCGCAGCACCCAACAATGAGAGAAATACATATAGGAAACTGCCGGATGTAAAGTCGGCTTACCGATGAATCATTCTACTTTTTAGATATATAGCTGCATGCCATCTTAGCGGAGATCAGCGATGGGGCATTCATTTTCATCGGACGAACACAGTTTCGGGTGCGGGCTACGTTTAAGTTTGATTTATAGACAAAAATATAGTGGCGGATGCGCGTAGACCGATCTGCTGGAGGACACTCTTCCGTCTATGGCACCATTGGGGCTCGCACTCGAACTAATAATATAGGCAGAAGGACCTTACTGCAAAATAAATGGGAGACTAGGATTGTCATTTATGGCTTATTAGACGTGGTCAGCTAGTCATACCCAGACCCAAATGGGGTCACACCCGAGCCTTGAGGTATATCTCATACTTTAAAATATATATAGCAATAAAGAATATTAGACTGTTGACTATTCATAGCTGTGCATTCTCTTATGAAAGGTTTTTTGTCTGAGGTAACAACCTGCATATGGTTCTTTGCAGCCGGTGATTGCTGTGCAAGTTGGCAACTGCAAAAATAAAGCAACATCTTGATCATATGGACTTTATTTAAAGCGCGTTTAACTTAAAATTTAAACGTTACAACTCATAGTTGGCCGTCTTTCATCGACATGCTTACAAGGCCAGATGTTACATGGCGTCCCGAGTCCGTCACACTCAATAACATCAGATCAGACAATGTTTTTCTTTAGCAGCGCCAAGATGACCTCCAAAAATCCTATAGGGAAAATGTAATGAATCTTTGCTTTTTGCGAAAACGTGTAAATAGAATGTACAGTCAACTTCCAATAGGTACTCATGAATCGCTCTACTTTTAGGTACATATATATATATGCATGCCGTCTCAGTGGCACCGGACAAAGACAGTTTCGGGTGCGAGCTACTTTTAATTCGGTTTTCTCAATTGAAATATATGTAAATAGCAATAAATACTATCAGCATAGCACCTGTTTGTCGCTCTGTAGTCTCCTATTGAAGGTCTTTTCCGGAGCTTCCAACCTGTATATTGTGTTTATCAGGCCAAATGACACTAAAGACCTGAGGATTTTGTAATAAAAAAATTTCTTCGGCGATTGCTTTGAGAGGAGTCCGTTGAACACAAGTTTAGACGATTGGTAAAAATACCGCAAAATCCCCTTCGTACGGCCTTTTTTAAAGTGAGTTCAAGTAGAAAACAAAGACACTAAAAGCCTCATGTGTCATTGGCATATTTCCGAGGTCAGGTTTCAAACGGGGTATCGAGTCT